CAGGAGTTGGAGGTTGCTGTGAGCTGTAATGCCACAGCACTCTACCCAGGGGGGACAGCTTAAGGCTCTGTCTCAAAAAAAAAAAAAAAAAAAAAAGATAGAACACTTGAACAGCACTATTGATTGACAGTGAACTTGAACTAATTGCCATTAAAAGAAAACTTCACATGACACCACTAGTACACACATTCTTTTAAACTACAACTATTTACCAAGATAGATCATACTCTAGACCAAAAAAAGTTCTCAAAAAATTTTGAATTCAATTCATATAACACATGTACTCTGATCATAACTAAAGTAAATTATAAGTCAATAACAGAAAACTATATAGAAATCTTCGAATATTTGAAAATTAAACACTAGACTTCTAAATAATCTATGGTTCAAACAACAAATCACAAGAGAAACTATGAAATATTTTTAACTGCATGAAAATATACAACAGATCAAAATTTGTAGGATGCAGTAAAGTTGTGTGAAGAAGAAAATTTAGTAATGAGTGATTGTATTCAAAAGAAGAAATGTCTCAAATTAATAGCCTAATCTTCCACTTTAAGAAGCTATAGAAAGAGGCCAGGTGTGGTGGCTCACACCTGTAATCATGGCACTCTGGGAGGCTGAGGCAGGAGGATTGCTTGAGTTCAAAAGTATAAAATCAGCCTGAGCAAGGGTGAGACCCCATCTCTAATAAAAATAGAAAAATTACCTGGGCATTGCAGCAGACACTTGTAGTCCCAACTACTTGGGAGGCTGAAGCAGGAGGATCACTTAAACCCAGGAGTTTGAGGTTGCTGTGATCTAGGCTAAGGCTACAACATTCTAACCTGGGATAACTCTGTCTCAAAAAAAAAAAAAAGGAAAAAAAGAGAAAAGTAAACCCTAAGTAAGTAGAAGGAAGGAAATAGTAAAGAGCAGAATAGATAAAATAGAAAACGGAAAACCAATAGAAAAAGACAATTAAAATAACAGCTAATTTTTAGAAAAGATTAATAGAATTAGTAAAGTTCTAGTTGGACTAATCAGAGAAAAGAAAAAGAAGATAAAAATTACCTGTATCAAGAGGAAAGAAGACTTCAGCTCCTCAGACATTAAAAGAATGAAAAGAATATTATGGATATCTTCATATTAATAAATCCAGTAACTTCAACAAAATATACAAACTCCTAGAAAGCTCATTTTAAAAAAAAAGAGAGAGAGAGAAAATGAATATTACCGTATCTACCAAATAAATTGGAATCACAGTTAATAACCTTCCCACAGATCCTTTTGTAGTTCATAAACACGATGATGGAGTCTCCATGGGCTTGCGTGAGATGTGCCGACCTCAAACCCTGTTACAATATTGGCACATTAGCAGTCTGACGGGGAAAAAACTTCCCACAAAGAAAACTAGAAGGCTAGGTTACTTTAATGGTGAGTTCTGAAACATTGCAGGAAGAAATGACCCCAATTTTACATCAAGTCTTCTAGAAATGGGGGGGGGGGCATTTTCTGATTTATTTTATGAAACCCACATTATTCAGTTGCCAAAACCAGAAAAAGGCATTACAAAGAGAGAAAACTACTCACTACTCATGAACACTGATGCAGAAAATTTTAACAAATTTTTTGGCAAGTTGATTCTAGTAATATAAAAAATGGACGAGACATCAGAACAAAAGGGCTGATCTCAGGGATTTCAAAAGTGTTTTATCATTCAAAAACCTATTCATAGGCTCAGTGCCTGTAGCTCAGTGGTTAGGGCACTGCCCACATACACGGCGGCTGGCAGGTTTGAACCTGGCCCGAGCCTCCTAACAACAATGACAACTACAACAAAAAAAATAGCCAGGCATTGTGATGGGAGCCTATGATCCCAGCCACTTGGGAGGTTGAGGCTAGAGAATCACTTATGCCCAAGAGTTTGAGGTTGCTGTGAGCTGTGACACCACAGAACTCTACCGAGGGTGATATAGTAAAACTCTGTCTCAAAAATAAATAAATAAATAAACTATTACTATAGTTAACAGACTTAAAAAGAAAAATCATTTTGGGGCGGCGCCTGTGGCTCAAAAGGGTAGGGTGCCAGCCCCATATGCCGGAGGTGGCAGGTTCAAACCCAGCCCTGGCCCAAAAAAAAAAAAAAAATCATTTCAATAGATTCAAGAAAGTGTTTGGCAAAACTCAAACTTCGTTTGTTGTTTTTTTTTGTTCTTTTGAGACAAAGTCTCACTTTGTTGCCATCGGTAGAGTGCCATGGCGTCACAGCTCACAGCAACCTCAAACTCCTGGACTTAAGCAATTCTCTCACCTCAGCCTCCCAAGTAGCTGGGACTACAGTCACCCGCCACAACGCCCGGCTACTTTTTGGTTGTAGTTGTCACTGTTGTTTAGCAGGCTCGGGCTGGATTCGAACCCTCCAGCTGTGGTGCATGTAGCTGGCTCCGTAGCCATTGAGCTACAGGCACCAAGCCAAACTTCATTCTTGATGAAAACTCTCAGCAAACTGAGAATAGAAGGAATCCCCCAAAGCCTTATTAAAGGCATACATATAAGAAAAAAAAATCTCTAGCTAACATTATTCTTTATGCTTTCGTCCCTAATATAGTGAACAAGACAAGAATGTCTTTTCTTCCCATTTCTATTCGGTACTGTACTGGAGGCCCTAAGCCAAAGGAATAATGCATAAAAAGGAAACTTCTTCTATTTGTATACAACATGACTGCAGATGTGGAAAATCCTAAAGAACCTACAAAAAAGCTACAAGAATCAATAAGAGAGTTTGGTTAGATTATGGAACACAAGTATAATATACATATTCAATTGTATTAATATGTGCCTTTACTAACAATAAACAAGTAGAAATTGAATTTTTAACAATCCCATTGGCAGTAACATCCAAAAATATGAAATGTTTATGGATAAATTACTGTATTTTGCTATGCATAATGTATACTTTTTTGTCCAAAGTTTTGAGGGGAAAATTAGAAAGGATATTATACATGTGTAATACAACTTGGGAGCCCAGGAGCCCAAAAGGCCTCTCAGGGCCACTGCACCCTCCTGCTTGGCCCTGCCAGACAGACAGGATTCTAGTCTGGGAGGATCCAGAACCCAAGATCTGGTAAGAGCAGGCTGGAGTAGCCTCTACTGAGCGCCACCATCAGGGGAGAAGGCAGTGGCAGGGCTGGTGAGGCAGGCCATGGGCATGCGTGGCAAGAACCAAGGCTCAAGTCCTGGCTGTGTGGAGGGGACTGGGAGCCCCACATAGGCCACAGGAACCCATATGGCAACCTTAGAAGCTCCTGGCCATCTCAGCCCACAGCCCTGATGTGGTGGGGAGGGAAAGGGTCCCAGGAGAAAGGGAAGGGGCAGGCCTTCCAGAGCAGGCAGCTGTGGGAGGGTAAGGGCAGTATGATCTGTAAGTTTACCAGGGAATGTGAGCCCTTCCCAGATATGTCTCTCCTGGCTAAAAGCCAGCCACTTTCTCAAGGAGCATTTTCCTGGAAGTTTGGGAAAAAAACATGGGTGCATATTATACATAAGTGTACAGCAAAATGCAGGGTAAATAAAAATATTACAGGATCTTTACACAGAGGACATTACTAAGAAAATTCAGGAAATGTCTAAATAAGTTAAAAGTTATGCCATGCTCATGGATTGGAAGACAATACTATTAAAATATCAGTTCCCTCCAAATTTGTAGATTCAACACAATTACAATAAAAATCTGAGATTTTGGCTGGTGCCTATGGCTCAAAGGAGTAGGGCACCGGCCCCATATGCCGGAGGTGGCAGGTTCAGACCTAGCCCTGGCCAAAAACTACAAAAAAAAAAATCTGAGATTTTTTTTTTTTTTTATTAAATCATAGCTGTGTACATTAATGCAGTCAGGGGTACAATGTGCTGGTTTATATAAAATTTGAAATATTTTCATCAAACTGGTTAACATAGCCTTCATAGCATTTTCTTAGTTACTATGTTAAGACATTTATATTCTACATTTAGTAAGTTTCACATGTACCCTTGTAAGATGCACAAAAATCTGAGATTTTTTAATGAAAATAACAAGCTGATTCCAAAGTATATGTGAAAATGCAAATTATCTGGATTAGCCACAAAAAATTTTAAACTATAGAACAAAGTTACATTACCTTATTTCAAGACTTTCTATAAAATTTAGTAATCCCAAAAAGTCATGTTGGAGGCTAGGCGCAGTGGCTCACACCTGTAAGCCTAGCACCCTGGGAGGCTGAGGTGGGTGGATTGCTTGAGCTCAGGAATTCAAAGACCAGCCTGAGAAAGAGTGAGACCTCGTCTCTACTAAAAATGAAAAACTGAGGCAAGAGGATCACTTGAGCCCAAGAGTTTTAGGTTGCTGTGAGCTAAGATATCACATTACTCTACTGAGGGCAACAAAGGGAATTTCTGTCTCAAAAAAAAAAAAAAAAAAAAAAATCCCAAGGCTATTAGCTCACAATGTTTACAAAATTTTTTGTAATTTTTATTTATTTATTTATTTTTTTGAGACAGAGTCTCAAGCTGTCACCCTGGGTAGAATACTGTGGTGGCGTCATAGCTCACCATAAACTCTAACTCTTGAGCTCAAGTGATCCTCATGCCTCAGTTGTTTCTATTTTTTTTTTTTTAGTAGAGACGGGGTCTCACTTTTGCTCAGGCTGGTCTTACACTCCTGAGCTCAAGCAATCCACCCGCCTTGGCCTCCCAGAGTGCTGGGATTATAGGCGTGAGTCACCACACCCAGCCCCAAAATTTAAGTCAAGATGAATCAAAGACCACATTAAAGATGTGCTCAAAATGTATCACACATCTAAAGATTTGAGAACTGTAACTTTAAGACTTCTGGAAGAAAGTATAGAAGAAAATTCTTAGGGGCTTTGGTTAGGTGAAAATTTCTTAAGTAAATGTAAAATATAACACTTTTTTGGGGGGGGGGGAACAGAGTCTCACTATGTCATCCTCCTCAGTAGAGTGCCTGGTGTCCCAGCTCACAGCAACCTCAAACTCTTGGGCTTAAGCGATTCTCTTGCCTCAGCCTCCCAAGTAGCTGGGAATATAGGCACCTGCCACAACACCCAGCTATTTTTTTGTTACAGTTGTCATTGTTGTTTAGCTGGCCTGGGCTGGGTTCGAACCTGCCAGCTTTGGTGTATGTGGTCAGCGCCCTACCCACTGAGCTACTGGCGCCTCCTAAAATATAATACTTTCTATTTCACTTTGTTATATATTTCTATAATATTAGTGGTATCTTTTTACAAAGGGATTTCTTTTCTTTTGAGACAGAGCCTCAATTCGTCACCCCTGAGGGAGTACCCTGGTGTCTTAGCTCACAGCAACCTCAAACTCTTGGGCTCAAGTGATCCTCTTGTTTGAGCCCCTGAGTAGCCGGGACTCCAAGCTCCCACCACACCTGGCTATTTTTTTTTAGCAACAGGATCCTGCTCTTGCTCAGACTGGTCTCAAACTCCTAAGCTCCAGGCAGTCTACCTGCCTTGGCCTCCCATAGTAGTAGGATTACAGGCATGAGCCCTGCAACCAGCCTACAAAGGAATTTCTATATTAGTAAGGATTCTTTTGGATACTAACAACAAGAGGTCAACTGGTACTAACTTCAGTTCATGTGCCTGAATGGTATAGGGGTAGATAGCCAAATGCAGATTCTTCAATGAATTTGTTATGAATAGGGCTTTCCCCATTTACTGGCTCTTCTGTGTTGGTCTTTTTTCTCAGGCTGCCTCTGCCCCTGTGATGATGACAAAGCAGCCTACTAGTTTGGCAACCCTAAGTCCTGACTAACTCTTAATGGCCTTGCTTAGACATATGCCCTCTCCTAAAAAGGAGGACTATGATAGCCAGGCCTAGGTCACAGGACCATCCATGGAGCTGAGTAGGGACAAGGTGGTATCAGCCCTATACTGAAGAAGGTTCTCAAAAGGAAAAAAGTAGCCAAGTGTTGTGGCAGGTGCCTACAGTTCCAGCTACTTGGGAGGCTGAGGCAAGAGGATCACTTGAGCCCAAGAGTTTGAGGTTGCTGTGAGCTATGATGCCATGAAACTCCGCCCAGGGCAGCTGAGACTGTCTCAAAAAAAAAAAAGAAGAAGAAGAAGAAGAAGAAGTCTGATATCAGAATAAAGAGAGTTTGGAAAGCAAAAGCAGCAGACAACTATTATAATTTACTACTTTTAGAATCCGAAAAAATGTTACTTTGTTTTTAATCTTTAGAGTAACTGAGCCCACAGCAATATCCTCTGGTGCTCTTCTAACACAGCTTAATAGAAAGAAGAGAGGCATTCCTCCGCCCACATATTAGCATTTTCTCAGAAGAATTAGAGATGAGGGAGGAAGATGCCACCCTAAAGGAACT